TTGGCCATTGGCAAACCACACACGGTTCTATGTCACGCTGGTTGAAAATTTGGTGAGTTCAAAGACGTGCTATTTATATGGTGGCCCAATACCCTTCGACAGTCCTTCGTACGGGCCTTTGTGCCGCGCATTCAGCTAGAAAATATCATCAACGATAGATTCAGCTGGGATTTGCTTGGGTCGACCGACATCACAAGCTTTAGTTTGATTTCACACTATGTCCTCAAATGCTTCCAATTTGGTGTTCATGTAAAATACGAGGTCAATATACTTCCGAGAACTGTGCTGCGAGTAAAGTGTCTCCAGCAACATTATGAGTAGCGTATGCCAACAAAATATCTCGTGATATGCAGGAATCGTGCCAAATGAAACCTGAGGCGGCTCTTGGGAAACACAAACAGTTCAGTAACAACTTTCAGTTGTGTTCACTGACGTATGCTGTTAGTACCAACGTAGTTTGCGAGTTTTTCGTACGGTGAAGACCCAAATTGCGGCAGATAAATTCTTTGTTATTGTTGGACAGCGAGCTGCTTGACCTTCAGTCAAACTGGCTTGTATGAATAGCTACTATCCCAGCCGGGTGTCCTGTCTAACCGTGGTCAAATCACCGGTCTCCTGTGTATAATGAGGGGCGGCGAAGCCAAAGTTTGTGCTGCGCGCTTTCCTACTGTACCGATGTAAACCCCAGCTAATATGACTGCGTGAAGAGCGTAAAGATACCTATCACAAGCCCGGCCCAACAATGATGTCACAACAATGGGCACCAGCGCTGTTTATTTGTCTCTTATCAAGCTCCCGGTATCCTCGTCAATCCCGGCATATTCCCGCATATCGTGTCAGTATATAGCCATGCGATTGTTACCAGAAGACCTCCATCAGCAGATCGTCGTGGTGGATAACAGTCATGTCGAACTCAGAATCAGGTGAACTTAGCTAGCGCGCGAAGTATTACATTTATCAATCGGACTGGATAATACCCCGAAGGCCGATCTTGCTAAGCCGCGTTAGTCATTTTGGTCTATGTCGCGTAGGAGGGATTCGGACCCTTCTGAACGGCCTTCCTTTGTTACTGTGTTGATCGCCCTTCAGAAGATGTTCACACCTGTACGGATGTCTTTCCTGTTTTGTCAAGTACCAGCTCCGCTTATGACTTCTATTGATTATGTAGACCGGACTGAATGCTGTTCAAGTAGCGGAATCTCTGATTTCGAACAGTGCTCCCAAACTGGACTTTTACAAGTTGTTTAAGGATGCAGGCTTTCAGTGCTGGTTAGGTGAGAGGGAGTCACCGATGCGACCTTGCCTTTTGAAGACTGCCAAGGCATTCAACTCCTGTCACACTCGAAGCCAGGTAACCGAAGTCACCCCGTTTCATCCGACTGGGGTAATGATCCTGACAATAATAAGTCTGAATCGCCGGGGACCCCACGTGGTTGTCACGTGTGACGGGACCGCATTATTCGCCGTACGTGCTGATACAATGTTCAGGACGAAAATGTGGAAAAACACAATCGATCGACTGTATAGATCAGGTTAGTTTAAGGTCACTACTGGAATGACCTCAAACTTTGGGTAAGGTGGACAGGTCTGTACGTGTCCATTTGCACAGCGTTTTCACCACAGTAATTTGGGTGCGGCAACAACCAATAGGACAGGGTCTATCAACAGTCAATTTCGCCAAATATAGAGTCCTATCGATTTCATCCGGTGTAGGTTTCGTTTGGTTGCACCCAATAATCGATTTTTAAAGTCCCCATGAATTTGATACCTTAAATATCGTTTTTCCGACAGCTAAAATTACTAACCTTGTGATCTGACCGACTCGTTTTGCTGTCTAACTAATCCAACTGAACGGAGTTGTAAGTGCCAAGTTTGTTCATCCACTTTGTATGCCTGTGATTCTAAAGATGTAAAGGTTTGTTCAACCTGAGCTACCCGAATGACTGTCTTTTCATAGATGAGGAATGAAGTCTCACAACAGGAGAGGTCATGCATGTTGATCTGTGATGTTTGAAGCTAAGCTAATCTGTCTCGAATTCACGGTTGAAAGGCACAGGATCTTACTTGTACATATTTCAGGCTTTGTTGATGAAGTGATCAAGTTACGCTTGAGAATTATTTTTTCGGAAGACGCTTCCGTCTATACTGCTGAGAATTCAAAAGTTGAGTGATCAACTCTGATTCAGCAGGATAAATGCATTAGAAGCAACGGCATGGACGCCGTTACCATGGGGATATGGAGAGAAGCTGGACTCTTGAAATTCCTGTCATGTGTAAATGCAAAGGTCAGCTGGAATAGGACATAGATGTGTACCCATATCGATGTCCTCAAACGGGGCTACGCATGAAGGTCAGATAAAGAGGTTGCAACAAAATGGAAATTTCTTCGGGGTTTCTGTTGGTTTTTAGAACCAGTTTGACTATGCGAAGCATTCGCTAACAGAAAGAATACATCAAAAGAACATTTGGATTCATTTTCAAGTCTATTGTACAGTTGATACACTAATTTGGTTTCATTATTAAGGCACAAACATGGCAGTTTAGTGAGCTAGAATCTGCCGGCACACGAATGTCCAGTTTGTCTACAAGTTTCAAGCAGATTTTCGGACCTTTAGAGGAATTCGTTAAGCACTTCTTTGATAGAAATTCTGGCTCAAGCAGAGATTACAAACAGTCTGTCAGCGTGACGCACTTTCCAGAATCGGGTCCACGTGCTCTTCTTGTGCATGGTTGAAGACGCTGCAAGATGTGGTTGCTAATCGAAATAAGGGGCGCTGTTATTGTCAGGTTCTATCGAGTGTCTGTAGGTGTAGACACCTCAGTAATCAAGCATTAAGTACTTTCTAGTCCACGTTTAATTCTTTCTTCGCAATCAGGATGCCAATTAAACTACGGTCTTACGGTAGTGTAAGATGAGAACGATTGAAACTGAGCGACAAGCACGGAATCATTGTAGCGATCGGCGTAGCAGTAACCCAGTAGCAGCTGGGCTAAGGTTAGCATGTGTGTGAACACAGCCTTTTAGAGATGGCTGGTTAAAAAACTTCTCTCGTCCGTGGGTCGTTTTCGGAGAAGGATCTGCCAAATCTTGCTCAGAGTCGAACAAAGTCTATAATTAGAGAGGGCTAGACTCATTTGCAAATAACATTAGTGGTAAAATGGTAACCTCCACTTGATTGCGGTATTCTTCTATCAGCTATGATTTACAAAGACCAACTCATGATTCAGTTAGCATGATATTTCAGACATCGCAGCATACTTGCAAACGTTTCGTCATTACCAGGACACACACATACTTTGGTATCAAACCTCAGGATGTCGGGCATTATTGAAAGTTTGGATGAGTTGTATTCCGTGTTTTCTAAGTCCCTCCATTTCTGATAGCGTCCAATTTCTATAGCATATCAGAGTCGAGACAGATCCCATATAGAATGTCCCAAACTCGAGCTGTAATATGGACAATAATATTCTGTACAGTGGCGACCAAACAAAAAGCCCATTTTTGGATCGATGCAGACAAACTAATGGATTGGGTTCAGCGAGGCGAATTCTCAGGGATTAGAACGTCCATGAAACATTGGGGGATGGGCTTTCTTGAGAGACGGGGCTAAAAAGACAAGGAAATGTTCCCATCGAAATTTCTTTTGCGAGGAAGATCCCCCCAAGTACACCTGCCATTAATCGTTTAGGTCAAACCCTCTGAGGATGAATTTCGTTAAACGTGACCCATAACGAGGTGAATGTCTGCATAAACAACCTTCCAGATGGAATACATTTAGTGGATTTCCCCCTCCGATGATTCTGTTAGCAACGAGTGAACAGTATTGAAAATTTCATCAGTACATCACTGAGCCACCACTTAAACAAAAAAAGCTTTCGCTTTCGGGCTTTTCATCTTTTTTGTTTCCTTCTGTTTTTTGAATCAAGGTGTGTTTTGGACCGTTGTTTTAGACCGTAGATGATCTCTTATGTAGATGCATATCGTGGATTTATTTTCATTAGAGTCTCTCGCTAAAACCAAATCGATTTGCAAATGAGCGTATTTCTCGAAAACAGTCCAATTCGGGTTCAAGTAGAACATAAGGTTGACGGAAACTCGAGGAATGCGCCTACCTGATGAGCCCCAAAAAGGGCGAAACCGTCGGTGGGCTGTCCACGAATTTCCAGCAACCGTATGGTTATTACATTACAAACATATACATGTATCGCGATATCTCGAATATCGTAGCGACTGAAACATGAGGCGGCCTGGTGCAGCACATTCAGTTGCCTGAGAACATCACAAACGAGAGATTCAGCTGGGTTCCAGGTGAGTCTCTCGAAAAAACAAATTAGTTTACAAATGAGTGTATATTCACAATCGCCTGGTCGTCATCAATAAGCTGACACTCTTACCTATGATTCTGCGTAATTCGTCCATCAGCATGTGTTCTATACAGTAACTTTTCTACAGTACTGTTCTCAAGGTTACCTGATTTCGTGAATTTGACAAAATATTATCGCAAACTTTCGTTTGTGTCGCTGAACAAACCAACGAATAAAGCAGCTTTTGCTTCAGGATAGCGTGCTACTCTCCATTTCGCGATACAAAAACTGTTAACGCGCCGATTCGTTTGGTTGAGTGCGTGATAGCTTCGGACTAGCTCGGATGAATGTGTTTGAAGAGAGGGACGTTTTAAACAAATATGTTCGCAGAAACAGTGTCATCAACCCTCGAAACTTCCCCCACCCATTTACGTTGGTTGCCCAGTGCCATGAGTCGAAAAACGGAAGTGGAAGTAACCTTAACTGTGGAAATATTCGTAATTCGTATCAGTAAAATTAGAAATTAGCTTGCAAACGCTCCGCTGCTAATCGTGACGTCATCAGCAATTCACGCAAGCGATCCTCATCTGTGTGTGCTCTTACCTCCAACAAGTAAGCCTGAGTGACGCATTTTGGTTGAAACGGGAAGTAACTAAGTTGTTGGTCTGTCTCGGTGATTCCCCTTTGTAGTGCTCATGTTGCCTGATTGGAAGTGTGTTTTGTTGTCCTTGTTTCGATTGTATGGGAAAAATCACTCAGCTGCCATGCCACCCGAAGGAAGCACGAGGGCTGGGATACTGCCAGGTTGTCCAAGCCTAGACAGGGGAAGTCGAGAGGCAGAGGTCGGGGTTCGAACCATGAACCTTCCGGTCAGTAAATTCGCGCTCTAATCACTTGAGCCATCTTGCCCCTTCGATTGTACGACACCAGCTTAGCTCGTCAACATAAGTTGACTGCGGATGGTTGCACACACTGGCAGACAGTACTCACCACGTATGATGCATGTTTGTCCCTCGTTCGTTTTTCTCGGCATGACAGTCGAAGTTTGACTGGCGGATTGCAGGAATCTACAATGCGCGAGCCTTCAACGATTACCATGAGGGGTTCACGCACAAAAGTGGAAAAAATGTCGACATCCGTTTTCTTGAAATCGCCTGTTGGCTAGCTTGTCTTATCAGAGAATCAGAAAGGTGGACTTTTGTGGCCGAACCGAGATTTTCACATGGGATTTGTAGCTACTCTCAGGATACTTACATCCGAGAATCTTGCTGTCCACATTTGTCTTCAATCTGCGGAAAGTGTTTGCGGAAGCTTGAGTTGCTTTCGACAGCTCAGCACAGGTCCTCGTTCGGGCTGCTCTATACCGGGTCAAGCAAGCCTTTGAAGGAATACCTTTTTATCTTTACTTGAGAGGCCTTTTCTCGCGCAACTCATGGTATTACGTTCCTTTCGGGGTAGGTTACCTGTATTCGTCAGGTCAGTGACTAGCAAAAGATGGATGTTATTCCCCATCGTTCGTTCTAAATGAAAGCACTTTGCAATTATTTCATCCTTATAGGGAATGATCATCAGTGCGCGTCTCGCGGAACTCCACGACCACTTGGCCAGTTGTTGACACGACCATTCAGTTTTGGACTGGGTGATTAGCTCGCAATTAGACAGGATAGATTGCCCGTTATTCCTCAAACACCAGATCGACCTCACTTGGTCACAATTCTTGGCTTGCTCCTCGAGTGGCGACTTCCCAGATGGTGCGAGCCCGTCTGAGCCAGCCACACATTACTGAAAAGACGCTTGTGGCCGAACGGTTAAGCGTTCAAACTAGCAACCAAGAGAAGCTCCGGGAGGTTTCGTGAGATGGGCACTGCTGATGACCCTCAACAAGTAGGAAACAGCTGGATAATACTTTAAGGCTTTTCAGCCTTCACTTACAAAATGAGACCTGTATTGAAATTTCCGGGGGCTTATCAGGTAGGCACAGTTCCTGAGTCTCCGTCAAATTTCCGGGGGCTTATCAGGTAGGCACAGTTCCCGAGTCTCCGTCAACTTTACGTTCCGCTTGATGGGGCAAATTTCGAGAAGTACTGTCATTTGGGCACAAACTTACTTTTGACAGGAGGCTTACCTGAATCCAGCTGAATCTCTCGTCCGTTATAAACAGCTGCTAGTTTTTACCTAGTCATTGAAAATGGCGGACCAAGATCGCGTGGATTACGCAGGCAGGACTTACCTGAATCCAGATGAATCCCTCGTCTGTCATAAACAGCTGCTGGTTTTTACCTAGTCATTGAAAATGGCCGACCAACTTGGCCGACCAAGATCGCGTGGATTACGCAGGCAGGGCGCATAAGGTTGACGAAAATTCGGTGATCGCGCCTATCTGATGAGACCCAAGAAAAATTCGGTGAGCCTATCTGATGAGACCCAAGAAAGATGAAATTGGTCTTGGGCTGTCGAAGAGCTTTCAGCAACATTATGAGTAGTGTATGTATTGAAAATATACTGCGATATCTCGAATATCGTGTCAGTTGGGTCTCTCGTGAAAACCAAATCGATTTGCAAATGAGTGTATTTCTCAAAAATTTGACTGTTTTTTTATCAAATGGGTAAGTGGGAAAACTGTGTCGCGTGACTTATCTGTTCAAGAGTTGCAAAACGAAATCCAGTACCACACAAAACATGAGCCGAACTCATCGAGTACCGAGAAACTTGTAAGTTGCAGATCTATAAAACATACAATCTTGGCGCGAAAATGGAATTTT